CTATAATTGGCCCGGAGGGTTGGTTGTCTTCGGACCATAAGCGAAATACAGATAGAAAGAAGGGATGAAGGGGGGTGAAGGGGATGAAGGGAAGAGATAACTATAGTCAAGATGTTCGGGAATAGAGTAAGGTAGCTGGAGGGCGAGAATGTACCCTCGTAGGACATCTTATTTACGTTAGTTAGGGTTTGTTGGCACAACCACCCCTAGGGGCCATTCGACGAAGACCACCTCTACCACCTCCCAGCCTATTTTAGCTACTCTTCTCGCGTACATACATACATATATGTATATATTGTATATATTCCGTAAGATCCTCTTTCTCAAACCACTCCCACCCCCCTTGACTGCTTTAGGAAAAGCCATGGGGTTTCTCGTAGAACCGAGAGACCGGTGTAAGCGACCAATGTTATTGTTGTTGTTACGACCCAAACGTGTACGTATATATACGTATGTATATGCGTATTTATACCAGAGAGAGAGAGAGAGAGAGAGAGAGAGAGAGAGAGAGAGAGAGTGAATGTACATTGGCTTCAAAGTGTCACATCGGTGGGCGTATTCGAAAGTGGGGTGGATGTTGGTTGTTCGTTTGGTTACCAAACGTATTCCTAGTCAGTTGATATATGTGTGAGTTGTGTCGTCACATGGGTGGCACGCACATAGAAGAGGGTGGCAAAGAGAACGAAGAGAGAGGGGGTGTAGTCGAGTAAACTTGCCGACATGTCACTCGAGCTGGAAGAATTCGATCTAGGAGGGGTTCGAGAAACAGAATGAGAGAGGTAGAGGGTTGATATACCAAGGGATGATTCGTTCGTTGGGATGCCTGCTACTCTGACAAAGTTGCACGTTCTGTGTGACTTGAGAGGATGAGGGGAGGAGGAAAAAGAAGGTGCCAGCAGGAAAGGAGGAGGATTTGATCAAATTCCGATATCGAATTGGCTGGCTGGATAAGAACGAGGGGTTGCTTGGCTAGAAGTGTGGGTGGGCTGGCTTCTTCTACTGCTCTTCCTCGAATTTTTGTCGGATATAAGAGTACCTTTACTTACTTACCTACCTACCTACACCCCTACTACTACTATCTTTTTACCTACTTGCCTAACTTTTCGAGATAAGAAGAGAACACATTTTCTTTATCATTTTTCTTTCTTTCTTTTTTTTTTTTCTTTTAAAGTGCTTTTGGAAATAATATATTTGTTAAAGGTTGATAAAAGATTCGGGTAGTTTATTTTTGTATTGATAATTGTGATGAATTTTTAGTATGGAATGTTGTATGATTTGATTTATATTCGATTTTGGAATATCGTTGACGAATCTTTACAAATTTTATTCATATAATTTTAAATATTATAATTATATATAATATATTTTTAAATTATTAATAATATTATAATAAAATATAATATATTAATAAAATATTGTATATAGTTGAGATGTAGAAAATATTCGTAAACCAATCAATTTAAAATAAAATCTTATGAAATTGTAGTTTATTAATTAATTTTTTTTTTCTATAAAAACTTTAACTTTTATAATTCAAGTTTCAATTATAATTAATTAAAAAAATAACGTATACAAATTTTAACGTGATCCTTTTTGTCACTACTTTCTTTCTTTTTTTATTTTTCTTTTTCGTTTTATTTAAGTTTAAAATCAACAATCGTGTTTTAAGAAAAAACACATTCAAAGTTATTCTTACTTTCTCTCTTGAACGATCTGTTTTGATAGTCAACAGAAAAAGCAAAGAAATAATTGGAAATAAATCTTTGATGGTGGTAGGTAGAAGAACGTTAATGTAAATTTCCTCGTTAAGTTTTTGGGAAGAATTTCGGCTCAATTTACTAACGTTAACTGATTTTAAAGCACCCAGAGAGAGGAAAATCTGTTAATTGAGCCAGCAGCAGCAGCATATCTTCTTTCTCTTTATCTTTATCTTTCTCTCTTTCTCTTTCTCTTTCCGCCCTTTATTATTCTACGCCTCGTAAGCCAATTAAGGAAGTTTCTTGAGTAATATTTTGACGGTAGGATTCAACCTTTAAACGCATTCATGTGCGTCCAATTAGAACAAGGAATACCTGAAATGCAGATACGTAAGCGTATAAGTCATTTATCTGTGTACATGTGTGTGTATATTTGTGTGTGTGTGTTTGAGTTCAGTTTATGCGTTCCGGATAATTTTTAATGTCAGTATTAATTTCGATTAATTGCGTGTCTACTCATAAACCTCCCCTCCCTCCTACCCCTACCTTTACTTCACCCTACTCTCCCTTCGGGTGTCTACGTTGATTATCGGACAAAATTCGATATCATCGTATATTATCATATTAACGATTATCACGTACAGTTAGGTAAATCCAACGGATACGAATTAATTCGTTTGGATCGATGTCAAGTGAAAATTTTCGCATATCCGTTGAAAAGCTTTTATAATGTTTAATAGAAATGTAGGGGTTGAGAGAGGAGGGAGGGTAGAGAGGGTTGATATCAATTTTGTCGATGTGTTATTATCATCGATATTTTGGGATATAATCCTAATCGAGATCTTTTTGCAATATTTCATTAATAATGTTGTATTGTAGATTGGTCATATGAGATTTGTTATTTTATTTTCGTTAAGAATATAAAATGATTATTGATAATTGTTAGATTAATAATTAAAAAAAAATAATTCATTGCTGTTGTTAAAGTTCTAATTATTGATAAGAATTTTTTAACCTTTTGTTTTTTCTTTTCTTGGTAAGGTTTATATTTTTATTTATTATTTATTATTTGAATAATAATTTTCTTTAGAGTATCGTGAAAACAATGAATTATAATCAAAGTTATTTACAGTCTGTATAATGGTATTCGTGTTCATCTATTTTCTTATTATTTAATATTGAATTATTATTATTATTTGGTCGTTGAACTATGATTGCTTTTTAATTTGAAATTAAAATTCTACATTTTTTAATATTGTTACCTTTCCTCATTTCACGATAGTAATCAACATCGTTGAAGGCTTCATTTTTTTATTATTATTATTATTTTATTATATAAATTATTTTAATATATAATTAATATATAAAAAGTAAGCTTATTTTATTATATTATTAATTATTATTATTATAATAATATTGGGTTGACAAGTAAGGATTTTTTAAGGTAAATGATTGGTGAAATCCACAATTACTATGTTGTCAACCTAATATTATTATTATAATTAATAATATAAAATTTATTAGAATATAAATTACTTTAAAAATATATATAAATTTATTTAAACATTTGTTAATACAAATCTCATATGCAATTTTATGTGTATTGTTCTATAAAAAAAAAAAAAAAAAATTTCCTGAGTTTTTCTGCTGTCATTATTTGTTTCAACAGTGTTCGTAATATATCGTTTACTTCGAAACATTTTAATTTATATTCATTTGAATAGGTGGGGTAGATGAGATGGAAAAGAAGGAGGAAGAGGAGGAGTGGCAGGAGGAATAGGATGATATCACAGAATTGTGTGAGGTTGTAAAAAGTGAGAATGACATTTTTATCGTCGCAGTCGTAGTATACTCGTCATCGTATTTGGCACTATTTTAATTATCTCACAATTGGCCATTACGTCAGTCACCGTGGAAACCCATTTTACGCTTGAAACTCATTTTACTCTTGCACACGTGGATTATATAGGGAATATCAAATAAAATAAATATAAACATCATAAATATAAATACTTCAAATAATTTAATTATCTGACTCTACGGATTCATAAAAATAAAACTCTTATAATTAATCTAGAAAGATAAAAAGAAACATTATATATATATATATACGAAAACACAATAGTAGCAATATTTTACACGTGTTACATAGAATAATTTGCATTTGTAGAAACTCTTGTAATAATATATACAAAGTGAGAGAAGGGGGTGACTTTATACAAAGAAAACAAACACACATCCGCCATAAGAGCCATATATATATATATATATATTGGATAAAGAGAGAGAGAATTTCTAGTATAGAAGGTGAATGTATAGGATAGTTGAGATGTTGTGGGGTAAGGGACGAAGAGAGAGACGAGGTCACTTGCGTTTCCTAGTTAGGGCAATTCCGCACACTTTCGCACGTCGCAATTAATTAGCTTAATTCTCGCTTCCTGTTGTCTTGGATATATCATCAAGATACATTAGTGTGTAGTGAGTAGGTGATGCCAGTAGTGTAATAGTAATGGTAAATGGTGAGGGGAAAGGGAAAGGGATTGAAAAGGGGTAAGAGGGAGGGGGAGTTTTAGGATCGTCACGCACGCACGCACGAACGCATGCATGCATGCCAGGAGGGCACATTCCGCATAACGTTAGTTTCTCTACTATAACTCGTGAGTTTACCTAGACAGAGTAACATTTGCACATACATATCTATTTAATGCTTATGGTGGTTGTGTGATTACGTCACAAGCAGAATGAACCCCGAGACGTCGATCTGCGTCTCCGTGCTTTGCGTTTACGTGCTTGTACCGCATCCGGAACAGCAACAGCAACCGTCACTTGCCTTGGTACGGTTAGGTAAGAAGAAACCCTTCTGGCATTGTATCTAATTAAGCTTACCTCAGTGTTTCGTCCCTTTCTGACTGTCTATCTGTCTTACTGACTATCTCTGTAGGTGTGTGTATCTCTTTTGGTAGCTCTTAAATTTTCTCGAGATGATGTTTTGTAAAATTACAAAAGAAAAATTAAGGTTGTTGCATAAGAGGTTTATTATTATATATTTTAAATTTAATGAGCTTATTTTGTAATATAAAAGTATACAAATACATTACATTATATATTACATACTTTATATTATAAGATAAATATAAGTTTATTTTTTCTATTATATACCAGGGATGTTTAATATTATATAATTATTTGTATATTATATAATATAATTTGCGTAATATATATATATATATATTATTTTATATTTAAATAGCACAAAATAAAAATAACAAATAACTAATGAAAATTCTTCTAATTTCGTTTCAGTTAACGCAAATGCAACATCGTTGGAAATTCTACCAAGTGGTGATACGCAAACGAAACCAATCGGATCGAGTATTATATTAACATGCAAACCTAACGTCGACAACCTTCGACTGGTCAGTGATATGCATTGGCTGGATCCACAAAATCGTGTTATAGAATCTCTCAAGTGAGTAATAATCAAATATAATTAAAAAATATCTTTTTTAATAGTTCTATTTAATTCTAATACAATATTCGATTAAATACTGTGGGATGCGTTTTAGAGGAATATAGTAATCTATATTAATACGCGAGTTTGCATTAATTGAGAGGATACTTGTTCTGAACACACGTGTGCGAAATTATCAAACGATCGATCTACTCTTGTGGTCTACAATTATATTATACATATATGTATATATATATATATATATTAGTACATACTATATGCAAACTATATATACATATATGTAATATTCTACACATTTAATCTGTTCCTGGAATATAAAAGTGACTAACACAATTTTATTATTCGTTCGTTAATATCTTTTTTTATTTTTTTTTATATATTCTTTTTATCTTTATCTTTATCTTTCTTCTTTATATAATAATACAGAGAGACGAAACTCGATTATCCCCAATTATTCTTCGTTTCTATTCGGCACACGTATATTACAGCATTATGTTTCACTATTTCCATGGTAATGGGTAACTCAGCCGCGAATATCTGAGTGAATTCGAACGAAAGAGAAGCGTAATCGAGTTTGGATAATCGAGGTACCACACACACATACCACTGTACGAAGTTGAATTCAATTTGACCGAGAATAAAGTGGATATAACCACTTGCGATCTTCTCTCCTCCCTTGCTCTCTCTCTCTCTCTCTCTCATCGTTTCTCTTTCTATCTTTTATTATTTCTATTTCTATTTCTATCTAAATTTACATGAGAGTTTATTCCTTGTTTGTTAAAATACACGAGTAAAAACATATGTTATTATTATAGATAAATATATATATACAGAGTGTCTCATATAATTGTCTGTATTCACAATTTTTTAAAAGAGTACTAATTTTAACAAATATTTCTCTTCATTTCTATCGCATACACACAGACTCGTCGTATTGCCGATCGAAAGGCGAGTATATACATATTTAACAACACAACAATAACAACAATTATTAACAAATACAATTTTGTTACAAGTTAATTGTAGTTGATCAGATTTAATCTCACATTTATGTTTTATTATTATAGTCTCTTTCTATTTCTTCTAATTTTTCTTAATGCTGTCTCGTGTAATTTCATTATGTATTATACACTCATACATATACATGCATACATACACATGCATAAATACATATACCTATCATCAATTTAAAATAGGAATTTGGAATGTATTTATCCAAGCATTATTATCAAACATACATATGTATATCATCATCAACACATTCATCGATTTGTGTGTTCATTTCGTACGCATCGTGTGTGTTTCGTTAATCGTACACACGTTTAAAAAAATATATATATATATTTTTTTCTCACCATAAATCACTCCAAAAATTCAACAGATAAAAGTTAAATTGTTTGCACGATGATTATTCTACGAATTTAAATAATATTCAGAAAGAAAAAAAAAACACGTGCGTATTTTTTCGAGGAGGAGAAAATTTATAATGACGACGAATAACGAGAACACCCATGCGTACACTAATCGTTATAATTATTTAGAAAAAGAAGAAAAACAAAAGAAACAGAAAAAAAAATGCATACGTTGTTTAAAGCACGTGAGCTTTTTCATTTCCTCGAATGTTATTTTTAATTAATCGTTATGAGCTTATTTTTTTTTTTTTTTATTTAAGGGGACCTTCTACTCTGAGCACCTAAAAAAAAGGCTATTTTCGCGAATTTTTTCCAAGAAAACTATAAAAGATATCGATCTAAAAGTTGTTGGGTTTGTTAAATTGAGTCTTAAACTATATA